AATTACATTTAAGCAATTATCAGCAAAGTAATTAGTAATGTAATTTAATTACAAAATATGAGTAATTTGGCCAGCTCTGCTAAAATGAGGCCCGCATGAAGGAAGCCCCAAATGTCCGTGAGCTTTAGGAATGGCATGCGCCGTAATGATCTCCAATTGCCGATTCATTTCTGCTCGAAACGAAGCTCTGATCTTATAACGTATTCGGATAGTTTATTCTATTTCGTTTCTATTTGACTTCTTTTTTGTCTTAATATTTGCTTTCCAGCTTTCTGTGACGCTAACCATCTGTATTACAATACACCTTTCCGGAAAATTGCAGGAGACCTCGCGACGAGTGGAATTGTGGGGCTGTTCCGATGTACGCTCATGCAGATTCCAGCGCTTCGTATATCCTGGAAGCGACATGATTAATTGTCTCTTATCATCAGGAGCTCAGAACGCACAAAGGATAAAGCGAACACGAAAAGATTCATTCACACACTCTGCTTTGACTTCCTTCGGTCATATCCGCGTTTTAAAATCACAAGATGCTAAACCTACGTCAACTTCGTGTTCGATTCCTGGATGATCCCACATGACGTGCATCGGAACGTCATAATTGTTCGAGCAACCTGTCGGGGTGCCATGTACTTCCGGAAAGATGTATTCCGTTACTAGGCTGCAAGTACCTGCGAGTGCTACCTGTTTGCTCGACGGCGTACCTCGCTTCACTGACTCTCGTTCAGCGGGAACAACTCCCAGCGATAACGCTATGAGCTCGAGGCTCTCGCCTTTAGAAAATGTCATCATTAGAATTCTCAGACTGCTGTTGTAAATATCGTCAGGAAAGCAAGAACTGTTGTATGAAGATATTTTTTTCGAGACATGTAATTGAGCTCGATTACTTTCAGTGTGAAATGAGCAACTATGAGGACAGTGTACTTGCTCTCTTATTTTACAATATATATATATATATATATATTTATACGGTAAGAAGGTTCAACGTGCCGGTTGGACGTAAAACGAAAGTGGAGGAGATCCAGGAAAGGCCTTTCTTAACTGCACCCACGTTTCAAGCGTCGGTCCCCGCTTAAAACTTCGGTGCAGTTAAGAAAGGCCTTTCCTGGATCTCCTCCACTTTCGATATATATATGGGTGGTTTCATCTCAAATCGTGCAGGCAAAAAGGGTCGAATTTTTAATTTCGATGAAAAAAATATATGTTATGGCGCCGTTTCTAAAACCGCAGTCGACACAAACCGCAAGTTCGTCGGATTTTTCGTTCTCGACTTATGAATTTTTAAAGAGGCCACGGCGAAAAGCAGTGTTTTTCACACCCGTCGTGGGTCGGATGTTTCGCTTGATCTACCGCCATGGATTTTCAGTCCACATTATATTATCTTTTTTGAAGCACTCTGTGGACACATTTAAAAGGCTCCAGTACCGTGAAAAAATTTTAGACCTTTTGCTTTTTTTCTGAAAAAATGTCAAAAACGCCTCCCCGGTCAATTGTTGACGAACTTTGACAATTAATTACTGGCGATCTACTTGGGTTACACCGATATTTTTGATGTCCACGGAGAGCCCAAAACACGGTCTTTATATTTATTATAAAATGCCTTGGCTGTATAAAATATCCTTTTCGGTACGTTTACGTTAATAGTATGCGAAAACCAAAAAGTACCATTTTTGAAATTGATTTTCTCAAAAAACCCATTTTTTATTTTTTTTATTTTTTGTTCAAATGTAGATATGATAGTTGTCTACACGAAAATCAAGCCTAGAGAGTGTATATTTTGTTTGCATGTTTTATATTTAGGCCTCAATAACGGGAAAAAGACGTCTTTGTTTTGCAAGACTTAAGTCAGACATAGCGACCCATGCGTCTCTATGAATTGTAAAAAAGTTTTCTTGAATTTTCTTCTGCATTTTGTAATCAATTATAAACAGATTTTGTGGTATTAAATATTTATGTATGTTTGGATAAGAGCGGGAACCATGAGATACATATCTAACCAAATCAGCAGGCCTAGTAGACTTTCAATAACCAAAAGGCTCAGACGTTGTATTGTTTCGATTTATAAACCTTTCAAAGTAAACTAGTACGACTAGCTATTAGCTGTCATATTATTAAGACAAAGAAAGTCACCACATCGTCGATATATTATACACAATTCTTTACGAAACCAAACACTGGGGCTTGTTCACAGCACATCGCACAGGTCACCAGGGAATGTCCTTTCACTTCCGTAATACACAAAAGTGGTGACACAGAAACAGTCCTAAACACACAGAGAGTGTGTCATGGAGAGGGGTAGGAAATAAAGATAAATAAATAGGAATTAAATTGCCCAACTCCGATCTTAACGAAAATTGCGTTAAAAAAAAAAAAGTATTTAGGTTTGAGCGGTGGCAAGGCGATAGGTCCACGCCTGGTGGAGAGTCAGAAAAAGAAGTCGACGGCACGTAAAGGTAAAACAAAACAAAAAAATTAATAATTTAATAAAGACGGGAAAACTCAGCCGCACATGGCAAGAACAAAAACCAACTCCCCCGCGCATTCCCTAAACGGGGCGCAACCAAATGCGTGCGAACACGCTCTCTACATCACCGCCAGGCCGCTACGCCATAACGAAATAAACCTAACAACTGGACAGTGCTAACAAACAGTTAGTAAGAAAACATTGAAAAAAAAAAAAACGTTCAGAAAAAACCGCATTCGAGAAACAAAGTTCAGCGGGGCGAAGAAACACACACGAGTCGGTCCCACGACATAGAAGTCTGGCATGATGACGGCGTCCAGATGATGCTCGAATCTGTTCCTCCCTCTATTACGCACATCCACGACGGCTGTGCGGAACAGTGGCTGTACGAAAGAAAGTGAAGAATAGATTCGAGCAGGCGATGCGCGAGAAGGTAACCGAGACTATGCTTCAAGCTTCATATCGGGAGAGGAGCTTTCGAGGTAGTTTCTGCAGTTACTCAAATTTTCTCTTTCCCCTTCCCTTTTTTCAAAAGAACACGTCAGCCGGCGCTAACGTTTCATCTCGGGAGAAGCCCACTCTTCACAAACGGTTATAGTTGACAAGGAGGCTGACTTCGACCCAACTAGTCTCCAAGCAGAATACAAACACAAGTATACTTGCCAACACGCTCGTTTTAATGTCAGTCTCCGGGCTTTGCTGTTTCCAAAAGAGATAACCCTTTATAAGGACAGAACGAGCGGGTTGGTGGGGATAATTAAACTTAAACACTCCCTTCTCGTTTTCTTCCTCAAGTTTAATAGATAACCCTTCGGTGCTATCGGATCTCCCCGGAGAGAGAGAGAGCACGGCCGTTTCAAGGTAAGGATAGGGCGCTCGAAGCTAGGGCAAACATGCGGTATCGTTTCACGCGTGCACGGATGGCTGGTTTCAAATTTCCTTACATCCCTAACGAAACCGGCCCATCTTCGTGTGTGCGTCTGCGCGGTTTCTGTCCCGCGCCGCCGGTTTTAGCGCGCACGCGGCGTTGTTTTGGCTGGCGGAACAGTTGTTGACCGTCGACATTGTAAGGCCGTGGTGTCCTCATCCTTTCAGGCAACGATTCCTTTGCTTTCCCTTGTGCAATACTCTGACAGACTCCTCCTGGGTGGCTGTCACTGTTCGCCGCGTTTACGACACAATGGTACCATTTCACTTTTGGTGACACAGGGTGCTCTGCTCGCTTTACTGACACGGGCCATCTCATCTAACACAACGAGCGCGAAAGGTCGTGGTCATCTGCTGGCTCCGAAAGGGCGGGACGTTCATGCAGGCCAATGAGGGCCCCGAATCAATAAGACGTCTGCCGACTCCTACACGTTAAAAATTTACGACACCTGCTGGTGTGTTAAAAAGTGTTGCTTTCTCTTTTTGGAACTCCTCCGATGTAGCTTGCCGCCTACAATAAAATTTAAATAATAAATAAATATATCAGGGTGGAAATACTGTATTTCATTTTTATGTGGGAGCGTTGAAAAAAAGAAAAAAATCTATTTCCAAGCTTGTGAAGACGCGCAATTCGCAAGTCCACTGAAGCCGTAAAAAACACGTTTTTGTACGATATTGATGCTTAAATGTAGAACATACAAACAAAATATACACTTTCTAGGCTTGATTTTCGTGTAGACAACTATCATATCTACATTTGAACAAAAAATTAAAAAAATAAAAAATGGGTTTTTTGAGAAAATCAATTTCAAAAATGGTACTTTTTGGTTTTTGCATAATATTAACGTAAACGTACCGCAAAGGATATTTTATACAGCCAAGGAATTTTATAATAAATATAAAAAGCGTGTTTTGGGCTCTCCGTGGACATAAAAAATATCGGTGTAACCCAAGTAGATCGCCAGTAATTAATTGTCAAAGTTCGTCAACAACTGACCGAGGAGGCGTTTTTGACATTTTTTCAGAAAAAAAGCAAAATGCCTAAAATTTTTTCATGGTATTGGAACCTTTTAAATGTGTCCACAGAGTGCTTCAAAAAAGATAATATAATGTGGACTGAAAATCCATGGCGGTAGATCAAGCGAAACATCCGACCCACGACGGGTGTGAAAAACACTGCTTTTCGCCGCGGCCTCTTTAAAAATTCATAAGTCGAGAACAAAAAATCTGACGAACTTGCGGTTTGTGTCGACTGCGGTTTTAGAAACGGCGCCATAACATATATTTTTTTCATCGAAATTAAAAATTCGACCCTTTTTGCCTGCACGATTTGAGATGAAACCACCCATATATATATATATATAGGCACGGGTATCGAAGAAGAAAGGAACCCTTAGTGGGGGGAAAACAGCAACAACGGGCGATTTAATCTTCGACGTTTCGGCCGGGGTCCAGCCTCTGTCAACTTTCGAGCCCGTCTAGGTAGATGTTGCTTGAGCGGTGCGTCGCGGACGGAGGTCTGATTCGAACGTAGCCACGACTGTACGGAAGACCCGTGGTCGTATTTGATGTCGGCGTGCGTTTATTTTGCTCCTGCCGTTGGTTTCAGGGCGAGAAGGGCGACAAGGGCGAGCGAGGCCTGACGACGACGTTGGACGGCAACACGTTCCCAACGGGCTTCATTGAGGGACCGGCCGGACCCCCAGGACCTCCGGGCCCTGCGGGACCCCCGGGCAGAAAGGTGAGCCGCACATATTGACGCCTCCGAACATCAAAAGTCTGGAAACGAAGGCTCCCCCTGCACATACAGTCGCTCGAGGACGGCTGTTGGCATTTTGACATTCGACAAAAGCACTCTGGAACGCAGCATGGTATTCCAAGCGATAGCTTTACGTGGGCGCGCTCCACGGATTTTGCTTCCTCATGTTGGTCTGAGTGCGAGACGTCAAAGTGTCGTGACGTCAGGTTTCACGTGACGTCACTTTTTTCACGTGACGGCATGGTGTCACCTGACATCACGGCGTAACGTGACGTCATGGTATCACGTGACGTCAGTGTCACGCGACGTTACAGTGTCACTGACGTCAGAGTGCCACATGACGTCAATGTGTCACGTGACGGCACATGTCACGTGACGTAATGGTGCTACGTGACGTCACGGCGTTACGTGACGCCATGGTGGCCCGCGACGTCGCAGTGTCACGTGACGTGACGTCACAATTTTCCCGCTAAATCCTGTAGGGGATTTTCGATCTTCTACACTCAAGCTGAGTGAACGATAATAGTTTGCTTTTTTTTATTTCCCTCGTGGAATAAACAAATAGTCATTGTCATCAATTAGTTCTTTTTTTTTTATCGTCGAGGAAGCCAGCGGTCCTTTTTTGATTAGATCTTCGCGTTTTTAAAGAAAACTATAGGATTGCATTGGGGTTTCCAATTAGGCGAGATCTCGTATATAGAGAGCTGAAGCATACATTTCGAAAGTTAGAATAGGGCGCGTAAGTATGATGCTTTCTTTTTCTCGCGCGTCACAGGCACTGGTCTATAAATTCACGCTTTTATATTTGATGTAAGTTTGCTTTTTCTTTCAAGTATCTTGTATTTTGTTCGACATCGGGTGTTCCTTAAAGGGCTACTCCACCGATTTTTTCATTGTCTCCGATTTGCTTGAAATTTTGCTAAGCTAACCAACAAACATCGCGAAAATAGTATCCCAAATATTAGGTCAAAATATTGTTTTTTCGCGAAGTTATTGAATTTACAGTTTTGGTCCTCCCCGTGTTTTTCAAGCTCGAAGTCTCTACTGGCAACAATGAAAAAGTGACGTCAGTGGAAGGCAGGGGTTCACTCTTTGGGCTGTAGATTTTGTTTTAAACTGATTCGAAGCAGTTTCATGGTGTCAAATGAATGCTTGGGAAGCTCGCTGCAGTACCCGCGCTCCAGCACGGAACAAATGATTGGCATATTCTATTTTTTGGCTGCTTGCTCGACTGGCAAGCCTGCCTGCCACTGACGTCACGGCCCTGAAAAGCGCGCGTATATTTGAATGTTGGTTTTTGCATCATTTTCATTTGCCGATTTCGGAATAACTATTATGAATTTCGCGATTCTAAATAACATACCGGAGAGAGGAAAGCCCGGGGAGTCCGAAAATATAGTTAGTTGAGGTAGCTCAAAAAATCGGTGGAGTTCCCCTTTAAGGATCAATCCTGGGCCCCCTTTTGTTGTTGATATTTATTTATGATACAGTGTCTTGTGTAAGTAGTTGTAAACTGCAACTTTTTCCTGGTGATAATAGGTTATTAACGAGCATTCATACTATTTTAGACTGTGATATGCTACAAAAAGATGTGTCTTTAATGTTTTAGTGGTGGGAGCTAAATCAACTGTGTCTCAACCCCCGAAAAACAAAGGTGTTTCCTTTTTCCCGACGACATGCTTGTGTTGATTTTTGCATTTAATCTCGACAGAATACCAATAAAGCGTCTATTAATTATAAAATATCTTGGCGTGTACGTTGATAATTGTTTGACTTTTAGAAACCATATATCTTTTATCGTGGGCAATACCTATAAAATGTTAGGAATGGTATCTCGATTGACGAAGAATTTTAGGAACCCCCACTCTTTTATGCATCTTTGCAATTCCTTTGTAAGGTCACGACGTGAATAGATATCTAAAACGCGGGCTATGAGCATTGAAAATGTTAAGAAAAAGATTATTCGAATTTTATATGATAGATTGAGCGCCGTTTTTTATTCCCGTTCTGATGTTTTGTCGGTCCAAGACATACATCAAACTTCGTCGTTCTCTGGACGCTCTCCGTAAATCACAATGGTTAACCCAATGTATGTTCTACTGGAAAGTGGACATGTATGTATATTTGTTAAAATAATACTTTTTTTTTGTCGGGTGAAAACGAACCTAATTTGTGAAACTTTGCTTCTATGCGCCGTCCAACTCATCGGTTCAGTGCAACGTAATTCGAAACCCACGGGCGAGAAAGATTGTAGCTTCATAATGCTATTTGCATTATGCGCGCACTTGTTTTCACGAAGTATTTTGCTACTGATGAACATAACAGAATATCCCGCTAAAAACCAGTATCGTGTCTCTTTCGATTAATTTTTTTTTTTTTTTATTGCAGAATTGTTTCGGCGAATTACGACGCACAGATGCGCGTTGAATGCACTACGTAGGTCATGCTGATCGCAATTTCGGAACAACACGTAATCGGCTTTTCATTCCTCGCTAGGGCCTTTTTCGATCATAAAAGTCGACAGGATCATTTTATGCAATTCCAGAACGTAAACGCGCGAAGCTTATTTACGCAGTAAGGCTTCACAATTCCATTGGGCAACAGTAGCTTGCGATAAATTGCAGAACACGGATGATCGGAACGGGGGAATTTAAAGCGTCTTTCGTAAGTAAATAAAACTTCGGCAGGATCGGTCGCCGTAGCTAAATAAACTTATTTTGAAAAACCTCATTTCGAGATCTTGTTTGTTGGCAAACAAACGCGACCGACACAAAACCAAAAGCTCATTCTATAAAAAGAACCGAGACAAGCGCTTTTGCTTTTTTTTTTTTTTGTAATTGAAACGCACCCTTGCAGAAAATCAAAAAGCGCCGCCCCTTTAAAAGCATAAATGAGAAGACGAACAAAACCAAATGATGCCCCTATTCGTAAACTCCAGACTTCACAACTAAACAACCTTAGCAGCTCTGTTCTACCTCGCACCCCAAAAACAACGAAATAAAATCAGAAAAACGCCATTCCTTTGCAGGCTCTCTGGTTCTAAACATACCCCCGGATTCCTTCTATCAAAAACCGGGTTCAAATGTTGTCGCGCAATCTCGACCGCTCGACTTTTTTTTTTCTTTTTCATTTTGTCTTTTTGACGTACCAATTTATCCTTCTTACAGCTCTCTCCCTCTCTCCTCCTTAATCTTTGACTCCCTGTTCTTGCCGTGAACGCCTTTTTCACTCGCTGGATCCCCTCAAATCTCGCGAAATATTAACGACGGGGCGTTCTTCTCCCTGAGATCTCATATAAGAGTCGGCGAGGTCCCCTGGAAGTTAGAAGAGGAAAACGCGGAAGACAAGATACATGGCCGCGTGAGCGAGCGGCATCCGTCACTTTCCCACGTCGCGGTAGAGCTGGAGAAAGGAAGCGCGTGAGCGGCGCGTGCTCGCCTGTCCCGGCGGGATAATCGGTTTACCGCGCCCTCATCAACTCGTAATCCCGTGGCGAATTTCCCCATAACCCTTCCCGCCTAATCCGGACTGCGGCCCGACGAATAGTGTTTTTCACTCTCCTTATCCGCAAAATTTCGATGCACTCCAGAGCGACACACGCGCAACGTATTACGGGACACGCTCATATGGCGCTCCACGCGCGTCTCGCGGCTGTAGGCGAGGCACGTATATACAGCGGTACGTACGTAAAGCGGGTCGCACGTGCAGCGAGACGCGCTTTTTTCGAGACACGGGTACCCTGAAACATGCTTATAGCGAAATACGCGTACAGCGAGACAATTGCACTCTGACACCCGCGCACTTTGAGACGCGCGAACTCTGATGGTGAATTCCACTCGTAGATCCGGAGCGCTTTCCAAAATCCGCGAGGGAGATGAAATTCCGCTCCGCGCACTTTGAGACAGGCGAACTCTTAGACAGGCCACGGCCTGACTGGAAGCGCGCGCTGTCTTTCTCTTCTTAAGCCCTTGGAATTAGGGCAATCGCCACCTTCCGCCGCAATGCAAGGGGGGCGCTGTCACATCACCCCTGGGCCAGCCCTGGGGTACCCTTTACCGTTTGCACAGAGCGCGTATGACAGCGTATCTCAGTGCTGTCGCAACTTGCGGCCGAGATTTTTATAGCCTTTGACACCGGAGCCTTACGTTTAGACCCTCAGCCACTATCTAATACGCTTCTAATGAGCCCAAAACGGTGAATATTTGACGCACTTCTCCGAGAGATTCGGGAGTAAAACGTAGTAAGTAGAGACAGCGAATGCGATTGCGGAAAAACTATACTCGTCCTTACCTCCAGGACTTCCGTTGCAACTCAAGAACAGGAGGAGACGGAACCCTTCTACGCGGAGGAACTTTAAATGATAAATAATTCGTACACTCTCGTGAAATGTAAGCAGGCCCAATCGATCTATTTCCGTGGTCTGCATCATCATTTCATAGGCCGAACATGAAGTCTGTCACCTGCTGTAGTAGACGGTGTAGTAGTCTGTACAATTTTCCGAACAAGGGCACGCGAGGGGTCAGACAAAAACAGAGGTCCCGTCCATGTCACAGGGGAACGCAGTTTGCTGACGACACTGCCTTTCGGTAGAGTGACTTACATCGGAGCGAATTTCAATAAACCGTTGCCAAAGCAACAACCTACGAAGCTCGAACACCAGCGCAAAGCAGCTCGAAGGGACTCTCCGAGTGGGGTGAAGTGGGGTGATCTGGTTGCGCCCCTGGCGGGAAGCAAGTGAACTACATACGAAGCAAAAATGCCATTGACTCCCGGGCGATTGCAAAGGCCGTAAGAAAAGAAAGAGAGCGCGCGCCTCCAGTCCGGCCGTGGACAAGCGTACTCTGAGACACGGGTACCCTGAAACACGCTTGCAGCGAGGCAGGCGTATATCGGTGCACACGTGCAGTAGGACAGGCTTATAGGGAAATATTCGTTTACAGTGAGACCATTGCACTCTGACACCCGCGCACTTTGAGACACGC